AAGGGCCTAAAAGAATTTTTTGGTGACTTTAAAATTGAAGCACATTCATGTGCTATTTAATATTTCATCAGATAAATTGTTCCGCTTTTTACATGAAACACCAGTTACAACTGAAAAGATTCTTTCTTACTCAGCGCTTGAATTGGTTAACGTAAAAAAATTTTCGAAATTGTCCTTATACTTTTTAACAATTATATACCATTTCACTCCACATCACATCTTCAGAACGATTAATTACGTAAGATTGTCGAATATTCTTGAATTTTGATCAATTATGCAACAATAACTGCGTCAAAAGAAAATCCCTTATTTATATGAAGTGTCCCTTTTTTCCCTTTTAATAATTTTTGATGCAAAATATCCCTCAAATAGGGAAATTACCCACAATCTGGCATCACTGGCTCCAAGTTGTGGATTGCAAACTGTGTGAAGTACTGGAGCTACTCGCGCTTTGTTATTTCTTTTTAAATTCGCCTAGAAAATAAATAAAATCAGTAATTATCAAAAAAATAAACAAATTGCAAAAATATTTACTTTTCCTGTTGTTCAGCAACCATCTTTTGTATTTATTTTATTTACGAAATAGCTATTAGACAGCAAAATGCTTTTCACCTCGTGTGGTGATTTTGTTGAGCTTTTTTCTTGTGAGGTGTGGGCTAGAATAACCTCACAAAATAGACCTCACAAGAAATCTCACAAAGTTTTGCTCACAACTCAGTTGTGAGGTTTTATTAGAATAGGGCTGTTTTACCTTTAAGCAAAAGCTGGAGCAAATTTTTGTTATAATTTGTTGAAAAAGCCTATGATGGTAAAGTCTCCCTTACCCATATGATTAGCATGTGCTACAAAATAGTTTTTCGCATTTTCTGACGAACGTATAATTTTGAGTTGTGCCACTTTTGAAGATCATGTGCGATATGTATGTCTTGACCTTCAGCTTTATGGCACATAAACCCATTTTCTTTGAAAATGCTGCTGGAAACGTTATTTTGGCCATCGGTGAGCACTACAGAGACATGATAAACGATTTTTGGAGGCTGGAAATTGACCCCATGAATTTGTACGATCTTTTGTTTCAGCGGGATGGCATAATCGATCTTTTATGCGCCAAGTCCGGTAATCGTATTATCAGCCGTCCCGGCGTTGGCAATTGGCTTCAGCTGCGATTTGACGTCGTTAGACTTTTTTGCGAGGTGCCGTGAAGCACCGATATTATGCAAACAATCCATTAACGATTCAAGCCATTCGTGAGCCAGAAAGCGTCACTAAGGTCTTGGAAAACTGGGTTAACAGAATACGCTATCGCGAAGCTAGTCGAGGCAGCCACATGAAAATAAAAAATTAATAGGAATATTTGCAATAAGCAGCAATAAGGTACAGTCCAATAGATGTCACGCTATT